ATTGCTCCCATTACTAGATGGTGTGACCGAAGTTACAGATTTATCTAAGATCCAACCGATAATCATAACCATCAACCATAATGCAAGCCTATTTTTCAAAATTCATCGTCCGTGGAATTCGAACTCTAGACCTGCCACTTGGAGAGGGTGACAACTAGACCACTACACTAAATCACCACACCTCATAACATGCTTTTATTTTAGTTTAAAAAGCATAATAAAATTTTAAACAAATACAAATATATACAATATAGTTTAAAAGATGCTATACTGTATATATATTATACAGTAGTTTACTGTATATTTTACATTACTGCTAATTATTTATTAATAACTTATTTAGCTAATATTATCAATTATAAATATATATACAGTAAATATAGCAATTTATATCACCTTATATACATGCCACTCACCCTAGCCTTCTGCATCACTGGTTTAGAGTTTGGAGACGATTTTATTTTTCATGTTAAAACCGATTAAACCTGGTTCCAAACTCTAAACTCGAGTCACACGGATAATAGCTTAAGTAATATTGTAGTGATGGAACTAACGATGCTAAAAATATGTGATTCTTAATTGTCGCATTCAATAATTTATAAAGAATCAATTCTTTTTAATAGATCACGGTGTGCGACAATCGAATTTTTAACATCTGTAGTCCCATCACTAACGATCTTTTTCTTTTAAAATAAATACCGTAAATAAATGAAATTATGGATATGTACAGTACTTATGCATATATAGTCTAAAATAAATAATATAAAGCGGGCAGGCTTAAATATTATAATTTAAAGCAGGCCGGGCCGGGCCTAAAAGATTATTGATTCACGCCAGAGTGACTTATTATAGTGTAACATCAATCATTTAGTGGCAATCTTAATCAACAAGAATCCTGAACTTCAGTTACAAATATAGATCACGAGGTATCACAACTCAAAATATTTCTAACTGAAAATCGGAAATTGGAAATATATGAACAATTGCAATTCTCGATTTGTTTATCTCAATGTATACACATAAAAGTATACAAAAATGTACAATGCCAGGTTCAGAATGATGCCGCAGAAACTATGCAACTTGCCAAGTTTGCCGACTTTTAGAATTTTTTTTATTTATTATATATATTATAATACAAACTTTCACATAACGATAAACGTTCTGAGTCAGCAAAAAAACAAAGATAAACAAATATATAAAGTTTGATTTAATAAAAGCCACACAAAAGAATTTTTGAAAATCACAGTCAATCCTTATTGACAATAACAAAACATCACCAAAGTATTAATTAATCATTTTCATTGATTTCTAAGAATCGTACAGCCTTTCGTGGTCTTGTAGTCTCGTGATATTGGAAATCTTGTGTTACATAATTTTCTTCAGTCGTATCCTTTGCCTGAATATGAGAAGATGCCATATTTGCACACTTTCTGCGGAAACAATTTTCTTTCTGTAGTTTCTTCTCAAGCACTAAAGCAATCCAGCGATTTTGTGCGACAATTAATTCATTAATAAATGATATGTCAGGTGATAACTCAGAATTCTTTCGGACGGCAGGCGCTATATAAAGATTGCTTTCACCAAATATACGGCCATTATAATCGCTGTTTCGACGACGACTTGGTACACGGTTTGATTCATTTTCCACGCTACTTTCACCAAATATACGGCCATTATAATCGCTGTTTCGACGACGACTTGGTCGATTTGATTCGTTTTCCACGCTAGGAATGCTGTCCAACAATACGTTGAATTCTGTAGTGACTTCTTTGGTAAGCGGAGAATACTTGTATAAAATCAGTTCCATAAATGTGTAAACTTTTTTTTCTCTCGGCCTAACACTCGAATCTGGTTTCGTCGTAGAGTTAATTAACTTTGTAGATTTCACAGTATAAGTTTCAGTCTGAATATCCTTCTTTATAGTGGTATCGGTGGTAGCACGAGGATAATCAGTTCGTAATTGTACACCATTATTATCCATGAGTTTATTTAGTTCCACAGGAGATTTAGCTTCAACCGCGGTAGATTGTTTAATCCCTTCTTTTTCAGATGGTTTTTCCACAAGTACTTTATTTCCATGTTCATATGTTTTCAAGGTTCGTGTCACACTATTCTTTGAATTATTAGAACCAAAAGTGGGATCGCATAAAAGAATATCGATTATACTTGGAGAAGGCTCATTATTAATTTTTATATTTGGTGTGACAATGTTGTTATTGATGACTTCATCATCAAAATTCATTAGGTCAATTTCTTGAATTACATTGGGCGCGTTGTCAATTATATTCTCAGGTAAAGCAGCTTGTTTAGGTGTTTCCGTGACTACGTATGATATACTTGAAATAATCAGGGATATTTAAAAGAGAAAACTACATCCACCCTGAGCTATGAAATTGGAACAACACACTGACCTTCTACCTTGAGTTCCGTTTTTTTCCATAAATCTTCCTTATGAAGTTTAACAAAAATAACATTTGGAAGCTCGGTTTTTTCCTTTAAGATTGTCGTCATATTTAGCTGCTAAAAACCAAAGGGATAAACGCGTCAAATAAACCTTAGAAACAAATAAGCATTGAAAACGTAAAAAAAATAAAATAAAAAAAAATAAAATAAACCTTTGACCATTTAAAGAAACGAACAAGAGTGACGAAACATATTTTATAATCTTTGGTGTAACAACTTTTAAGCGTTAATTATAGGTCAGATACGTGATATCACATCTATTATAATGACTTCTTCATGTTCATCATGTTATTAAGTAATACAAGAAATGCATTTCGGGAATTGAATTAATTAATTGCCGCAGTATGATCGTGGAAGTTGTTTGTTTCTTCGTCATGAGATATCACGTACGTACGTATGTACTTGCATTGAGATTGCAATTGTTGTAGTGTGGCAAGTGCAACTGCAACTTTATTATCTAATGAAATATCATTAAGGTTGTACAATACAAAAGAGTATCTGAAGAGTTTTGATCAATCAAATTCGGTTTTATTCTTTTGTAGTAAATACAATACCAGATATAGAAAGATAAACTGCGGTTTGTCTGCGCCTTTATTTCATTAGTCTTTCGCCATTTTCTAAAAGTCTTAACTTTACTCGTACTGCGTATTCCAACTTTCATCCTTCTATTTAACTTTTTTATATTCAAAATAATATCTCTCTCCTAAAGAAATGCTATTTTTGGTGTAAAGCCTTTGAATAAATAATTCTTGATGATATTTCGACAAGGTGATTGTAAACATGAGCATTCAAAATGTGGTAGACTTAACAAGCGAGAAGTGCGACCTTTTGGCCATGTCTTTGAAGCTCCAGACAACGGAGAATGTCTTGAAAAGAAGCTATCACTTTCAGCAACTAACACAACAGCACCAAGAACCTCAACCATTTGTACAAAAACGTAGAAAATTAAATGAATGTAGTTTCCAGTTACAAGATATCTCGCCGCAGCAATCGATCCAACAACAACAAAGCATAGACATGCAAGAGAAGCTACGGCCTCAAAATTCTGTTGTCTCGCTTTCCACCTGTCATGTTCCACCGCATTTCGGGCGTCGGTCTTGTAGAAGTTCTAAAACTTTGCAAGATAAACCTTTACAAAATTCAAAATCCTGTTCAAACCCTTCTCAATCTGAAATTCCTGATAAGACATTACAATTGGCTGGCTCAGCTACAACAATGTCTTTTTTAGATAAGTCTTCTGGGTTTAATTTGACTCAAGATAAAATCATCAACGATTCTTCGAAATGCGTCGACAAGGTGTCAGATAAGACATGCATGGTTACCACTGACCTTAACAATGCTCGATTGGTTCCTGTCAATACGACCAATACAGTTCATGATTCTTCAACGCTTACCAATCATCCTGATGCTCCAGAAAACGTTAATCAAGAATTTTCTATTCTCAATAAAATTCCATCTTTGATAAGTGAAAAACACAGAAAGGCTGCTTTTGTTGAAAATCTAGTCGGTGAGTGGTAGATCCTCGTTATTTCTTATTTAGTCTTAATATTTCGTAGGATTCTTATTTGGTTCATACTTAGACACTGCTGGCCTTATCATGGAGGTTATTTGGGCAAATTTCTCCATTAGCCCTAATACGAAAGTTATTACTTTACGCGTGTTTCTTCAAGAAACTTTGCGACGTTCTCGTACCTCCTATTCAACACTTCAAACAGCATTATTCTATTTATTTAGAATTAAACATAAAATCGCATTCTTATCCCAACGTTCCGAACTGCCTCCTACACCAACTTCCGAACATCCTCCCGATGTGATCCAAAATTCATGTCAAAATAATGATCCTGCAACCTGTGGTCGGCGCATGTTTTTAGCTGCTCTGATTGTTGCATCAAAATATCTTCAAGATCGCAATTATTCCAACCGTGCTTGGTCTAAAATATCTGGTCTTTCTGTTAAAGAAATTAACGCAAACGAAGTTTGCTTTCTCAAGCTTATTGATTATAACCTTTTTATAGCAGAGGACATTTTTAAACGTTGGAGTTCTCTTTTGTTGACGCATATTCAAGCCATTTCAGGACCAGATATATCAAATCCGGAGGCATTTAGGAATGCTGAAAATCAGAGTGAGGTCTCTAGATTTCGTGAAACTTTAAGATTAATGGACCCAAAGACCATGGAATATAAAAGTCCCCCCGGTTTTGGAATTTATCCCATCACTCCTGCAGTGAGTGCTCCGGGATCACCACGCGAATAATATTATTTATCGTAAAATTCCAATTGTTTTACCTAAGGTTACGAACACTCTTTGGATTCATATCTTCATCACTTTTTTTAAGCTTTTAAATACATTAATACTATATAAATTACATATAAGACTTTGTTGTATTCATTATATATGTGTAAATTTTTTAAGTATATATATGAACCTACAATATTCTCTTATATGCAAATAAATAACATACATTTATATCACAATTATTCACGATCACCAATTGTTGAGATGACTACTTGTCTTGGGATTAACAGTAATTTTCTACTTTATGTCAAATATCAACGATATTGATTTGATATCAAAAAGACTTAAAGATGCAAATATTTTCGTGGTGTATCTTGCAGATAATTTCTGATAACTTTTTCGATAACCATATAAGATAAATTTTTTGGAATGAAAAAAGCTTGATGATATTAACAATACTATATATAATTATGTGTGTTCAAGTGAATTCAACTAATCTTTTAGAATGCTTAGTTTTATAGTTTTTAGAGAAATGTTATTATTACTTGATGTTTTTTTATAAAGTGAAAAAGATAACTAATACTGTATATATAATTGTAATATAGCAATAATCAAATTAAAGTTTAATCAAATTTGAATTAAAATAAAATTTAGTGTAAATACTATAGTATATTATTTTTTTAATATAGAATTATAGTAGTTAGATTTTTTAAATAAATATTGTTTAAATACATGGTTTTTTTAAATACTGTATATAGCTTTATTTGGCTCTAATTTATTTAATTTGTTGTATATAATATTTAGAAATGTGTTATTTATTAGCTAATTTTTTGTAAATAGTAAAACTTATTGTATTTTTTAAATAATTACAATTACAGTCAGATCTCAATATAATCACCAGGTTGGAAAACAAAATTTTGGTGATTATAAAAAGTTGTGACTATATGGAGGACTCTAAACATCTCTAATATAGGTCGTATTTGGATTTTGGCCAATTTGGCCTAATTTGCTGAAAATTAAAATTTTGCTTTTTCTTAAATATTTCCTGATTTAGTGATTGGAATTGAATAAATTTTTTTCAAAAGAAGCGCCTTACTGAGGGCTTTCATTTAAAAAAAGTTCATTTAAATTGGACTACTAATTGCTGAAATATTTACAAATATGTGATTTTTTGCTCCTTAAATTTACAGAGGTTTTGCTGAAAAGTTCATATATAATCTATATCCTAGATGTTCAGAGTCCTCTATATAGAGTTTTTGCAATAGAAAAGGCCCATACTGGTTTATATACAATTTTAAGAAAATTGTATTTGTTTTGTTCAGACTGATCTGGGTTAATCAAAAATTTCATAATTTGATTGGCTAGTTATATTAAATAATCCTATGATATACAAAACTCCCAAGAAATTATTTTAAAATAACTCAATTTTTTATTATACAAATCAATTTCCATTTATAATTGAAAAATATAGCCTGTATCAAAATTTATCCAAATATACAAAAACTCAATTTTTATTTTTTGGCAGTATTGGCTTTTTCTATTGCAAAGACTCCATATAAAGGTCAAAATTTTTATGTTTTATAATAGCTAGATCAAAAAAATAGCATGATTATAACAAAGTTGTGACTATATTGAGAGTAACTATAACAAAGTCTGACTATATATATAAATACTATATATAAAGGTAAGCTAATAGAAATATATTATATCTTTTTTAGTAAAATTTTTTTAATTTTTAAATAATTTTTTTTTTTAAATTAATTTGGCAATTATGCTATTATAGAATGTGCAAATGTCTAAGAATATATTAAAGATTATATATTTAAAAGATCTAGAAGAATATAATGAACATAATGAGTTACAATATATGCTAAACAAACTTAGGGAGCTGATGAAAATCAGCTGATTTTTTGGTGGGTCAGCCAAAGTGTCAGGTGTAATTCTGGCCGGAATTATCAAATTCTGGCCAAAATTATATTATAAAATTAAATATATAAATTTATATATAAATTGAATATTAAATAACTTTTGATCTACTGAACCAATTTGGATAATTTAACTACCAAAATGATTCTCTTAATGACCTTATTCTAACAAGCCTAAAATCATCAAAATCCAATTACTAGATCCTGAGATCGATATAGATTTATATACTATATACTATATATTACTATATACAGGGGGCTACCAAAGCATTGTGGACACTTTTTGAAAATTTATATTAAGCTAAATAAACAAGATATAAAGTT